TATTAGGAGGTGGGCCTTTCCGAAATAATTAGGCTTAGAGGTCATGAGGGTGGGGCCCATGATGGCATTAGCGCCCTAATAAGAAGAGGAAGAGACACGAGAGTTTTCTCTCTCTGACATGTGAGGACACAGTGAGAAAGCAACTGTCTGCAAGCCAAGAAGCAGACCATCACCAAGAAATGGATCTCTTGGCACCCTGATCTTGGACCTCCAGCCTCCAGAACCATGAGAAATAATATCTGTTGCTAAGGACACCCAGGCTGTGGGGGTTTTTTAAATAGCGAAATACCATTAAAAAGCCAGCAGCTTGGGGCACCTGGGTAGCTCAGTTGGTTAAGCATCTGACTTCGGCTCAGGTTATGATCTCACAGTTCATGGGTTCAAGCCCCACATCAGACTCTGTGCTGACAGCTCAGGGCCTAGAGCCTGCTTCAGATTCTGTGTCTCCCTCTCTCCCTTGGTCCCCCTCCCGCTCACACTCTGTCCATGTCTCTTAAAAATAAATAAACACTAAAAAAAAATTTTTTTAAGTCAGCAGCCTGAACTAAGACAATTCTTTTTTATTATTTGGTAACTTCACTGGCAGATACTGGTATGCGATTATTGTTTGAATATTCATTCCTTTCATTATTGGGAAATATTTTCTACTATTTCCATTTGTATCTCTTCTATTGTGAAGTTCTTGTGTCTTTAGCTCATTTTCAACTGAGATGTTTGTGTTTTCTTGATTATTTGTTTAAGCTCTTTATAGATTAAGAATATTATTGGGGCACCTGGGTGGCTCAGTCAGTTGAGTGTCTGACTTCGGCTCAGGTCATGATCTCATGGCTCATGGGTTGGAGCCCGTGTCAGGCTCTGTGCTGACAGCTCAGAGCCTGGAGCCTGTTTCAGATTCTGTGTCTCCCTCTCTCTCTGCCCACCGCCCCCCGCCCCCCACGCCCGGTGCTCTGTTTCTCTAACTCTCTCAAGAATAAATTATAAACATTAAAAAAAAATTTTAAAAGAAAGAATATTATTCCCTTTTCCTCACATTAGTATGCAAATGTTTTTCTCTGTTCTTCCTGTACCTTTAACCTTTATTTATGAAGGGTTTTTTTGTTTGTTTTTTTTTATGTGCGAGAGTTTGAGGAATCATTTAATGCTTTTTTGGTGGCGAGGAGGTGCTAGGTTCCATAGATCCAAAGTAAAAGTACAAAACACAAAGTGTTAAGAAGGGTGCACGATGAAAAGTCAAACCTCCCTTCCTCTCAGGTGGATGACAATGATCTTACTTCGCTATGAACTGAGGGACTCTTGGGGACATGGGGTTTTCATTACTAAAACTGGGACAGTTCTCAGCAAACTGGGACAGTTGGTCACCCTACCGGCCCCCTAATTTCCCTCTCAGAAGCAATACTGGTATGAGTTTCTTGGATAAGACTTCCAGAAATATTACAAAAGTTTTCAACTTGAATCTTCAAATCTGTTGTGGGGACTACGAACCTTAGTCCACAAACTTGCATTCATGGGATATGCCACATCCTTTCATTTGCTTTAAATCAAATTAAATGCAACCTTCCTCAAGGCAAGGTGACACAAGAATCCAAGGGGTGCCATGTGCTCAGAAAGCAAAGTCAAGTTTCTGAAATCTTAGCCCATCCCCTTGCACTTCCTCTTTCCCAAGCCCACACAACTCCTCTAAAGACTAGTGGCCCCCAACGTCCAGGTTCCATGACCTCTGACTCCCCGGGATGCTGCTGCTCCCTCCTGAACCCCAAGACAGTGTAGGCAAGGCAGAAGCAGCCAAAGGACAGAGAAGCCACCAAAGGAAGGCAGCAGAGGGAGTCCCAGAACCCCTACTTCTTCCTTTTCGGTAGGTCCCTCCTTCTGGGGCCTCATGCTCCATAGTCAGTGCACTTAACTGCCTCCTGGGCCCTGCTGTGCACCTGTCAACCCTGGCGTCACCGTGTACCCCAGAATGTCTGCTCCTTGCCCACCAGCATCACTCCCAGACACCTCCTGTGCTTAGCTCACTGGTTCCATTCTCTGAAAGACCTTCCTCTTCTCCCACTCCTCTCTGCTATCATCCTCCACATCCCTCCCTTGCAGAGAGCCACCCAAGTGCCCCATTATAGTCTTAATATTTCAGTCAAGAGTGTTATACTCTGATAAAATAGAAATTCCAGTGTCATATCTAAATAGGCAGTGCCAGGGCGCCTGGGTGGCTTATTTGGTTGAGTGTCCAGCTTTTGGTTTTGGCTCAGGTCATGATCTCACGGTTCATCAGATCAAGCCCCACATCAGGCTCTGCACTGACAGTGAGGAGCCTGCCTGGGATTCTCTTTCTCCCTCTCTCTCTCTGGTCCTACCCCACTCACACACACTCTCTCTCCCTTTCTCAATTATATAAACATTTTTTTAAAAGACTATTTTCTCTAACTACAGGGGAACAGCGATGAATGCAGCTGGGACTCCTGATTGGCCACACAAAGGGCCACATAAACCGCATTGGGGTGGAAGTTACAGCAGCCACAGTGTGAGGAGCACCCGGGGCTGCAGGTGCAGGCTGTGGAGCCCTCAGCCCTCCAACCCCTGACTCCTCTTAGCACACCTAGAATCGGGCCATTTGCCACTAAAATCATTACCTACGGAAATCCCAAGTCGTAGACCATGCCACCAAGTTTTACATTTGCCAGTATAAGCCCAGTGACTTTAATTTTACATATTAAATCCAGTTGATCAGTTAATAAATTTGAAAATTGTCCAGGGAGCCTTTTCTGAGTTAATATTTCCACTGAGGTTGTTGGCTTTCCTGGGATTCTATGAAGTTCTTTGTGTATAAAAGCACGCTCTATGAAATGAAAGCTGTAGACATTCACCAATGGCCCTGAGCTGCGTGAGTGTTTGAGATACACTTATATATAGCCTGGGGATCTAATCGCATTGGCTTGATGTTTTAACAGTCCGGAGCACGTCCCTCTGCCATGACCTGTGTGACCTCTCCTTCCTCTCCCCTCATACTATTCACAAGATATCTGTTGGCAATTTTTGTATTTTTTTTTTTATGAACGTGATATGTTGATGCCTTATCTCCCTAATCAGACCACCAGTTCCATGAGAATGGGAATGGAATTTGGAAAGCAGCCTGCCTTCCCAGACTCCACCTCACCTCCAAACACAGGAGCAAGACCCTTAGCAAAAGTGACCCACCAAACCACTAACCTCCAGTCACCCTGCCTTGCATCCTGGCTGGCTGCCTGCCACGGGGTGTGCAGTATGGGATGTATGAGTGCTCCCACTCGGGCCGTGCTCCCTAGGGAGGAGAGCAGCTGCCAGCCTTACACCGCAGTGATGAAGTTCTATTCCCAGAGGTTGCTCTGGAGCAATTTCATAAATAAAAATACAGGAAGTACACTAAGTGGTTACAAACTGTGATGGAGAGTCAAAGGAAAGGGCACTCACCTTCGTCGGGGATGATGGCCAACCAACACCTTCCCTAGCAGGAATGGATGGAGTTTGAACTGACCCGGGGAGGGTGGGTAGAGTGATATTTTAACAACGTTAATCACTTTTTTATTATTATAAAAGCAGCATATGGTTATAAAGTATGGACAAAAGTATGGACAAATAAAAATAAGAAAATAAAAATCGCCCATAATCCTATTACACAGAAACAACCACCATCAGTAGTTTAGCATGTTAAAATTAACAACTCAGGAAACAACAGATGTTGGCAAGAATGCAGAAAGAGGGGAACACTTTTGCAAACTGGTGTAGCCACTCTGGAACACGGTGTGGAGTTTCCTCAAAAAATTAAAAATAGAACTACCCTACGACCCAACCGTTGCACTACAAAGTATTTATCCAAAGGATACAGGAGTACTGATTCACAGGGGCACATGCACCCCAATGTTTATAGCAGCACTATTGACAATAGCCAAAATATGGAAAGAGCCCAAATGTCCATCGACAACGAATGGGTAAACAAGATGTGGTATATACAATGGAATACTACTGGGTGATCAAAAAGAATGAAATCGTGCCATTTGCAGCAACATGGATGGAACCAGAGGGTATTATGCTAAGTGAAATAAGTCAGGCAGAAAAAGACAAATATCATATTATTTCACTCATATGTGGAATTTAAGAAATGCAACAGATGATCATAGGGGAAGAGAAGGAAAAATAAGATATAAATGGAGAGGGAGGCAAACCAGAAGAGACTCTTAAATACAGAGAACAAACAGGGTTGCTAGTGGGGAGTGGGTTGGCAGATGGGCTAAATGCGTGATGGGCATTAAGGAGGGCACTTGCTGGGATGATCACTGGGTGTTGTATGTAAGTGATGAATCACTAAATTCTACTCCTGAAACCAATACTACACTGTATGTTAACTAATTTGAATTTAATAAATAAACGTGGGGTGCCTGCGTGGCTCAGTTGGTTAAAGTGTCTGACATAGGCTCAGGTCATGATCTCACAGTTCATGGGTTCAAGCCCATGTCGGGCTCTGTGCTGGCAGCTCAGAGCCTGGAGCCTGCTTTGTATTCTGTGTCTCCCCTCTCTCTGCCCTTCTCCCACTCATGCTCTGTCTCTCAAAAACAAATTTAAAATGTTAAAAACAACTTAAAAATAAATAAATGTAAAATTTTTTTAAAAAGTTTAAGCATTTTACTTTCCTTTTCAAATATATATATTACATACATACAAAATATAATCTTTTTTTGTTTATTTTTGAGAGACAACAAGAGCCAGGGAGGAGTAGAAAGAGAGGGGGACACAGAATCCAAAGTAGGCTCCAGGCTCTGAGCTGTCAGCACAGAACCCAAACGTGGGGCTCAAACTCAGGAACTGTGAGATTATGACCTGAGCCAACGTTGGACGATTAACCGATTGAGCCACCGAGGCACCACTAAGATATAATTTTTAAATAAAATCTTTTTATACAGATAGTTTTATAACCTGAGTTTATAGGTTGGATATCTATTTAGGTTGGTTCTACTTTTTCTTTTTATTAACAGTGCTACAGTGAACATCTTTGAAGCTGGATCTATGCGCAACCCTCAGGATTATTCCACTGCCTGAAATTCCTATGGAAGTTCTGGATCAATGGTCATCTACATTTTAAGGTCTTTGATGATAAGGTCGAGCAGGATTTCAACAGGTAAAAATGAGGGAAAAGGGCATTTCAGATGCAAAGAAAGAAGTAATAGCAGAGAAGCAAGAAAACTCTGTGCATGTTAAAATACATATGTGACAAAATAGGCTGGTAGTTAAAGCAAATAAACGAGACTTGTAGGAGATAAGAAAAAATGGGAAGACAATCTATCAAGAACCTTGAGCCAGGGTCAGGGGTTTGTGTTGATCCAGTAGCCTCTGGGTAAGACACAGTAGCTGCAGAGGCCATGGATTGTAGAGGAGCCAAATAGACAAAGGGAGACCGATCAGGTGGCTGACGGACGCTTCCAGAAGATACACAATGAGGGCCTAAACGGGGCCCTGGATCTTGAGCAGATACAGCCAGCAGATACCCTTTGACAAAAGGGACTTTGCAAATGCGATTAAATTAAAAAATTGAGGGGCGCCTGGGTGGCGCAGTCGGTTAAGCGTCCGACTTCAGCCAGGTCACGATCTCGCGGTCCGTGAGTTCCAACCCCGCGTCAGGCTCTGGGCTGATGGCTCAGAGCCTGGAGCCTGTTTCCGATTCTGTGTCTCCCTCTCTCTCTGCCCCTCCCCCGTTCATGCTCTGTCTCTCTCTGTCCCAAAAATAAATACACATTGAAAAAAAAAAATTTTTAAAAATTAAAAAATTGAGATGGGGAGACTATCCTGGATTGTCCAATCTAATCCAAAGGGTTCTTATGTGAGGAGGCAGTAGCAGAGTCAGGGAAGGAGATGTGACTGCAGATGCAGAGTTTGGGGTGGTAGGGGGCCATGAGCCAAGGAACGTGGGCAGACTCTGGAAGCCAGAGTAGGCAAGGAACAGATTCTCCCCCCTAGAACCTACGGAAGGAACACGGCTCTGCTGACACCTTGATTTTGACCCATTTCAGACTTCTGGCTTCCAAAACTAGTAGATACAAATTTGTGTTGTTTTAAGCCATTAAGTTTGTGATCATTTGGTACGAGAACAATAGGAAACTAACACAGGCAGAGCTGCACAGCCCTTGCTCCAGGCAGCCTTGTTAAATTAGTGTTAAGAGGACAATGGGTGCTATGGGGCTCAAGGAAGTGGGATCCCTGGATCTGATGCTAAGCAGAATTGCACACCTGGGAAGGTGTGACTGTTGAAGGCACTTCCGGGAATGCTGCCCAGACGCAGGGGGAATGCCGGAGTTGACCTCTGCCTACCTGCAGTAAATTCTCCAGAGTGTAACTAATACAAATGCAAAAGAACCTCCAGAAGGAAGGATTTCCTAGCAGGGCTCGTACTTGCCTTTTCTTTGTGTATTTGGAGCATCTCTTCTGTGCAAATTCCACAGGTTAGAGAACTTCCTCTGGGGCAGTTCACGCCAAATGAACAAACACAGTAGACTTTTCAAACCAGGCTCCCAGCTTCCAGCATATACTGCCAGCACCTGAAGGGAAGCCATCCTCCTTTACTTCCTGTCTCCTAGGGACATCTGTGGGGGCGAAATAGTATGCTCACTTCCTTCCTCTACAGTCATCATCATGGTCATGACGTGCCTGCGGTCCAATGTCAAAGGGGTGGCACAACTTCAAACTAATTCTCTCACATTCTTGGTAACTACGACACCACGTTATTATTGCCGTAGAGTTAGAGAGTTGCAAACCAGTACATCTGGCGGATTTTCTGGTCCACACAGCACCAAAGGATTCCTGAACCCAGAACCACTATCCCAGGCCCTGGGGTTCTAGCTTTACAGACAGAAAGTTATAACAATTCTCACATTGTGGACATCTTATAAGATAGCTTCTAAAATACATAAGTCACTAAGTCAATTTCAAAGTCTTTCTTTTTTTTTTTTTTATGTTTATTTATTTTTGAGAGAGAGCACAAGCAGGGGAGGGGCAGAGAGAAAGAGAGGGAAACACAGAATCTGAAGCAGGCTCCAGGCTCTGAGCTGTCAGCGCAGAGCCTGACACAGAGCTTGAACGCATGAACTGTGAGGTCATGACCTGAGCCCGAAGTCAGACACTTAACCGACTGAGCCACCCAGGCGCCCCTAAAAGCCTTTCTCAGATATCTATAGGTCAAGCAGATCAAACTGGTAAAATAGGAATTTTTTTAAACAGTTAAACCCAGTCATTGCATTCTTGAGCATTTAGGCAGGAGAAATGGAAAATTAGGTTATACCAAATCCTGTACATGAATGTTTGTAACAGCTTTATTTGTAATAGTCAAAAACTGGAAACAACCCAGTTGTCCTTCATTGGGTTAAGAGTTAAACAAATGGTGGTCCATCCACCTATGAAATACTGCTCAGCAATAAGAAAGAACAAACCACTGATACACATACAACATGTAAGTGAAAAAAAAACCCAAAAGTTGACATACTGTATGATTCCATTTATGTAACACTCTTGAAATTACAAAATTACAGAAATGGAGAACACATTAGTGGTTGCCAAGAGTTAGAGGCAGAAGAGAGGAGTTTGTGAGGTGGGGTACAAAAAGGAGGTGCTTGGGGCGCCTGGGTGGCTCAGTCAGTTAAGCATCAACTTCAGCCCAGATCATGATCTCACGGTCCATGGGTTCAAGCCCCACGTCAGGCTCTGTGCTGACAGCTCAGAGCCTGGAGCCTGCTTGGATCCTGTGTCTCCTTTTTCTCTCTCTGCCCCTCCCCTGCTCGTGCTCTAACTCTCCTTTTCTCTCTCAAAAATAAAAATAAACATAAAAAAATAATTAAAAAAACAAAAAGGAGGTGCTTGTGGTTATAAAAGAGCAATGAGAGGGATCTTTGTTGTGATGGCCGTATGTTGACATGGTAGTGGAGACACAAACCTACATGTGATAAAATTGTACAGAACTAAATACACACACACACACACACACACACACACACACACACGAACACAAGTAAAACTACTGAACTCTGAATAAAATGGGTGGGTTGCATCCATGTCAGTTTCCTGGAGGTGACATTTTACTATGGTTTTGCAAGATGTTACCATTAAGGGGAATTGCAATGGATCTCTCTGTACTGCTCCTTACAATTGCACATGAATCTATAATTTTCTGAAAATAAAGATTTTAACTAAAAATTGTTTTTAAAAAACAATATATAAGGTTGATCTAATGTATCTGTTTGGAACTTTGCACCAATAATTGGAGAATCCACAGTATCCTCAGGTACACAGAAGATAACAGTCCTGTTTGACCAGGAGTCTCCTGAGTTTAGCACTGAAAGTCCTTCATCCCAGGAACCCCTCAGTCCCAAACAGAGATGGTTAGTCATCCCAACATTTACAAAAATTAATTATGCACAATTTCTGGCACATTTCAGAGAATAAATAGGTAACATGCACTCCATATTCTCTGAGCACACTACAATTTACATTGAAAAGTCAGTTTAAAAAATGTTTTTAATCCTCATATATTTGGAAATTTCAAAGCATACTTCCAAATAACTTGGAGGTCAAAAAATAAATCAGAAGAGAAATTTTAAAATACCTCAAACCAAACATATGAAGATACTCCATATGAAGCGATATGCAAAGAATGTAAAGATGCAATGGAATGTGTTCTTTCGTGCTCTCAGCTCTTCAAACTAGTGGGAGTATAAATATGGCAACTTGGGAACACATGATGTATCAGACTCCTGTAACGTGTTCAACTCTTGATCCGGTTAAGTCCACTTCTAGGAATTAACTGAAGGAAACTACCTACAATGAGGGCAAAGATCTGCATCCAAGATAGTCACTGCAGCATTGTTTCTAATTGTCAAAATGGAAGTGTAAGCATCCTACACGTCCCGGTTTAGAAGATTAGTCGAATAACTTTTGGCACGCACATGGGATGAATTATCACGTAGCTGGGAAAAACAGTGTTGAAGAACAGTTACAGATGACATGGGGAAATGTTTGTGGAATAATCTTTAAGTGACAGGACAGATGAATATGCATATTCCATGTAATTGCAACTATGTAAAACGTATGGAGAAAAAAACACTAAAGAGATAGGCTAACACAGAGTGTGCTCCTGGCTGGCTCAGTCAGTAGAGTAGGAGACTCTTGATCTTGGGGTCATGGGTTCAAGCCCCACACTGGGTGCTGAGGTTACTTAAAAGTAAAATCTTTTTTGGGGGCGCCTGGGTGGCTCAGTCGGTTGAGCATCCGACTTCGGCTCAGGTCATGATCTCGTGGTCTGTGAGTTCGAGCCCCGCATCGGGCTCTGGGCTGACAGCTCAGAGCCTGGAGCCTGCTTCATATTCTGGGTCTCCCTCTCTCTCTCTCTGCCCTCTCCAGCTCATGCTGTCTCTCCCTGTCTCTCAAAAATAAATAAACACTAAAAAAAAAATTTTTTTTTAAAGTAAAATCTTTTTTAAAAATATGCTAACATATTTACACTTATCTCTGGATGGCAGGAGGTTGTCATTTTCTTCTTTAAAATTCTCTGTATTTTCCAGTTTTTTCACAATAGGCTTATGATAGTACCTAATGTCTTTAAGATGTTCTGCACTTTTTTAGTGTTAAAAAAAGTGAGGGGGGAAATCAAACACAGAAAGTCATGGAGAATTCAGCTTACAAAGTAAAGTTTCAGAAGAGAGAAGGAGAAAGGAGAAGTCACCTGTGAATTCTGAGGAAAAGGGATATGCTCTTTCTTCACCCAGATTTTCACTTCCCTAGAAAACAATTTTGAAAACAAAACTGCGAAACAAGCACAGTGAAAAGCAGCTTGATTTACCTTTTAATACCTCTTTAGAGTGAATCAAACTTATCAATGCCTCTATTTGTAATAGCCCCAAATTGGAAACAACCCGAATGCCCATCAACAGAGAACGGATAAACACAATTGTGCTATGTTCACGCGATGGGTTATTATATAGCAGTGAGAAATATCCCCAACCACACACAACAATGTGGATGAATTTCAAAAGTATAATGTTGAGTGAAAGGAGCCAGATTCAGTAAAGTACTTACTGGATATGCCATTTACATAGAACACAAAAATTGGCAGAACAAATCTAAGCTGTTAGAAGT